TAGGGTTTAGGGTTTAGGAACATACCACAATTCCCATAGAGACTAATACGATGATGTTTTAGATAACTCTTAGGGACATTTAGAGACTAATGCGAGGATGATTTTTTAGATAACTGCTGATGGTTCCTGCACCACTCCTAGACCCGAAACCGTCTGTGTGCGGACCCCGGGACGAGAAAGAGCTGAGGAGGCTCCGCATGCCCCAGAGGAGGAAGTATGGAGTGTATGCCTCGAGCGTTGTTTAGGGTTTAGGGTTTAGGGTTTAATAATTGAGGCTTTAGAGTGTTAAGGTTTGGCCCCGAAGCCCTTAACCCCAGAGGGTTTCAGGGTTCAGGGCTAGGAGTTCGGGCGTTTCGGGCATTAAATTAGGGGGTTCGGGTTTCGGGTTTCGAGAGTGTGGAGTGTATGCCTCAAGGCTCTAGATTACTCCGAAAATGGGGGGGGGGGGGGGNNCTAAACCTAAATAAACCCTAAACCCTAAACCCTAAACCCTAAACCCTAACCCAAAACCCTAAACCCCAAACCCGTAACCCTAAGCCTAAACCCTAAACCCTAAACCCAAAGCCCTAAACCCTAAATCCCAAACCCCAAACCCTTAACCCTAAGCCTAAACCCTAAACCCTAAACCCTAAACCCTAAACCCTAAACCCTAAATTACTAAACCATAACCCATTAAAGAAGCCCTTCGGAGGGTTGCTTCATCAATCCGTTATCCTTTCAACAAGCTAAACCATAAACCCTAAGCCCCAAACCCTAAACAGACCCTAAACCCTAAGCCGTAAGCGAGTTTTGCTTTACTGGTTCTACAATAAGAGTACTAACTCCTCGAGGGTGTGGCTTGGGATAGTAAGGATGGCGCAAGATGTTGTAAAAGGAGGTGCAGGGATTAGGGTTCAAAGGGTCTGGGTAATCCGTAATCATGAAACTTACTGCTGCGAATACTGGAACTGACTTAAGTCAAACCCTCAAGACTGAACGACTTGCACCGTCAACGGAACCCCTAAAGGGAAGCCCTTAAAGGGAACCCTCACAGGAACCCTTAAAGGGAACCCCTTTAAAGGGAACCCCTGAAAGGGAATCCCTTAATAGGGAACCCTTACAGGGAACTCCGTTAAACAGAACCCCTCAAAGGACTTCAAAGGAACCCTAAACCCTAAACCCTAAACCCTAAACCCTAAACCCTAAATCCTAAACCTCTCAAAGGGACCCTTAAAGGGAACCCCTTGGGGGGAGGGTTTCGGAGATGTGGCCGGGGGGACTCCGGGGC